GGCGAGATGCGGGCTGCAAGGAAAACAGGGGTATGATAAGGATGCGAGAGACTGTAGGATTCGATGCGACTATCGACTCTATAGACGTAGACGATGAAGTGTGAGGTTGGGCTGACACACGCGCCTCAGGCCGAAAGGACAGGATGCGCGACAGCCGTCGCACCAAGATGAATTATGACGATGGAGCGACTCCGGCTGTCAGTGGATGGCATACCATGGTTCTTGCGAAATTTTCCGGTCGCTCAGCGTTGGCGCAGTCTCGTAGCATGGGTCTTCCCAGGCCGGCGTCGATGGTGGACCGAGAGTGGGGAGACATGCCCCTCCGGAACGTCTCTTCCATGACCTCGGGTTGCCCATGACTGCGCCGCCCAGTCACGATGATTGCGCGGGCAGGTGCGACCAGGTGACAAGCACGACAAGTAACATGCAAACGCGTGGCGTGATATGATATGAGTAGGACGTGTCAGCAAGCAGTTTGCCAATGGCGGATATCGAGATTGAGATTTGACAGTGATATGCACTAGGCTACTTGCGGCTTTTGACGTAATGTTGCATGTCCCCGCTACGCGCTACGATCTCCCCAGGATGTTTGAAGCGAGCCCACGATCTGGTTCATCGTGTTGGCCTGTAATTTGGCCAATATTTGTCAATACAAAACAACATCTACAACATGTCGCGATGATATGAGAGCTATAGTAGGGATCCCGACTGATATGAGACGGGTAAGAGCGTGGCAAGACGGCACTACATGTGATCAATAAACCTACAGTAACAATTGTAAACCCACGAAGGGTCTAGATTCTGACGCATTTTGGGTTCATCGGGACGCTTCGATGCGTTCCGTGACATGGTCTATGTTGCTTTTGAGTACCGAAGTTGCAGAGGAACACCCTACGACTTGGGCTTCGCCATTTTGGAAAAGCAACATCATGTTTTCACGCGTCATTCCCAGATGATGACTGGAGTGGACCTCGGGATGCCTACGCAATCTCACAGCACAGTAGTAGAGTAGTAAAACAGTAGGATAGTCATACTGAGTATATTCTCGTTTCATCCGTATCTACATCTACTTCGTATACCTCTTCTGCAAATGCTTCCCAATCGTCGTAAGCTGAATATTACTCGTCCCCTCATAAATCGCGCCAATCTTACTATCCCTAAAGTACTTCTCCGCCAGCCCCTCCCTCACAAAGCCCATGCCTCCCATCCACTCAATCGCCTGTCCAGATACGCGTCCAGCGACTTGACTCGACATGAGCTTCGCCATGGCGGCATCCATGATGAAGTCCTCGCCCGCCTCCTTCTTGCGTGCGGCGTTGTAGACGAGGGCGCGGGCGGCTTGGATCTCCGTCCAGGCTTGGGCGAGTTGGTGCTGCATGGATTGGAATTCGCCGATGAGTTGGCCGAATTGCTTGCGGTCGTTCCAGGCGTAGCTGTGGGGTGTTAGTGCATGTTCAGATATGTTTGTGAGGATGGTGTAGACGTACCCAGCGGCGTTCTCCCAAGCTCCCAGCGCAAGACCCGTCATCTGTGCTGCGATACCGATACGACCCTCGTTCAACAGCGCGATAGCGTACTTGTAGCCCTCAAACTCCTTACCCAGCAGATTGTCCTTGGGGATCTCGACGTCGTCGAAGTTGATGACGCAGGTACTGCTCGCCTTGATACCGAGCTTCTTCTCCTTCTTCGCGATAGAGAAGCCCGGTGTGCCCTTCTCTACAATAAATGCAGTGATGCCCTTGTACTTCTTGCTGGGATCGAGGTTGGCGAAGACGATGAAGAAGTTGGCTTCAACACTGTTCGTTATCCACATCTTGCTTCCGCTGATCTTGTAGCCGTTGTCTGTTCGTGTAGCCTTTGTAGCGAGCGCGAAGGCATCGGATCCGGATACAGGCTCTGAGAGACAGAAGGAACCGACGGTGTTGGTAGCGAGCTTAGGAAGCCACTCCTTCTTGAGCTTCTCGGAGCCGTACTTCAGGATGGCTGTGTTGACGAGTGTGTTGTGGACGTCGCACATGACGCTCACACTGGGGTCGACGCGCGCGAGCTCCTCGATGGCGATGATGGCCGATGTGAAGTTCATGCCTGAGCCGCCGTATTCCTCGGGTATCTCGATGCCCATGAGGCCTTGCTCGAAGAGCTGCTCTACTACCGCCGGATCCATCGCTTCAGCTTCGTCCATGGCTCGCGCCTTGGGCAGGATGGCTTCGTTGGCGAATTTCGAGACGGACTCGCCCATGAGCATCTCCGTCTCGGACAGGTGGGTAATGGGCGTCGGTGGCACATCTGAGATGTCAATCGCTTCCCGGCGGGCGGCAGTCGTGGAGAGGCATCGTAATCTGGGTGGCCATGGTGTTAGTCTTGTGTATTGTCGCCGTTGTGGTGTATACATACTGCGGGGCGGTGCGGGTAGCCGGTCGCAGCGAACGCGACGAAGCGGTAGCAACGCGAGTGAGGGGTCTTATTGAACGTGAAAAAGAAGCCATTTTTGCAATATTGGTTGAGAGTTGAGGAAACAAATGTGGCAGTGGTGAAAGTCAACGACGGAAGCCCGCCGCTCACATGCCGAGGCAGCTTAAAGTTAGCCGGCGCAGGCCGCACCATGCATGCCATATGTCCGGGGTTGTGGAGAACGCCCGTCACATGTCAGCCGCCACCAACCACAACGAGTGAATCTCACGCACTGTGCCGCCGCGATGCTGCAGAGCCGCATGCCGTCAGATCTTAACCACACAACATCAAGCCGTGGTAAGTGTATTGCAAACTAAATACTAAGCTATAGCCTTGGTCGACAACAAGCAGCGCAAGGGTATATGAAAAGGACGGCATGCAAGAAACAAAGAAATCAACTGGTCGTAACACTGACATGACAAGGGAACAACAGCCTCTATTCAACAAGGAAAGCTGCCTTCCAGCTGCAAGAAACACCCCTTCCTATTAAGAATTGTTATATCCGCAACTCCAACTACGCCCCCCCTCGTGGCTCCTAGACGCGGTTGTTGGACCCCATGGCAAACCTGCCGGCCTGCATCTGCGCCTTGTACTCGCTCAGCTCGGCAGCCTCCTTTTGCTCTTCGGCGAGGAGTGCTTGCGCCTCCTTCCTGCCTGCGCGGCGCTGCTTGATGCAGCAGAAGAGGATGATGATGGAGGCAATGGCTACGAATCCGAGGATACCGGCGATGATGCCGATCTTGGCGCCCTTGGAAAGGTCGTTGAAGCGGTTCCTGACTCCATGGGGGGACTTGATCTCTTCGAGGGTTTCAGATTTACCCCTGTGTCCTGTTAGCTCTGTGCTGGTTGAAAGACGGACGTAAACTTACTGGATGACCTTGACCTTCTCCCAGTCGCCAGATGCGTCCATGCCCTCCCACGAGTACTTGGCAGCCTTGGTGTAGTCTTCCGCGTAGACGGACTGGATCGTCATGATGTAGGGACTCTTGTCAAAGTCTGTCACGCCACCAGCCCACTCAATAACACCAGGGTCGTTCTTGTTGGGGTCACCCGCAGCCCACGATCCGAGACGGATGTTCATTGGTGTTTGAGGGTAGCGAGTGCCGTTCTTAGCCTCCTCCGGGGTGAGCTCCCTGACCTCCTTGTCGTCGACATACCACTTGATGCGGTCCTTCGTCCAGTCGATGGTGTAGTTGTGGTAGTCGTCCTGGGGGGCGAAGCCAAGATCAAAGTCCTTGCCGCGGTCGTAGGTTTCGGTGTCTCCCTTGCCGAAGTAGTTGGTCAGGATCATCTTGTCGTCGCCGCGGAACTCCCAGTCGATCTCGTCAAGCGCCTCGGACTGCAGGATGGCACTGGAGATGATACCCTTGCCGGTAGCCACTTTCATGACTACCTCGAGGCGGCCGAAGAGCATGTAAAAGACCGAGTTCGCCGTGGGAGAGTCGCCGGATCGCTCAATGGCAAAGGTCGCGCCCTTCTCGTTCCAGTCGATCTTGCCCTGGTTGGGCATGCGCCAGATCTTGTCGTTGTTCGGGATACCAGTCTTGTTCCAGTTGAAGGTGGCGTTTCCGCCGAGCGCCTCCATGTCGGGACATCCTGTGGTGTTGAGCGGGTTGCCTGTCTACGTCAGTACGTCTGTCGCAAGTAGACCTCAAGTCGCGTACAGTCGGTGTGCGTCTGCGCAGTGGTAATCGAGATAAGGCCTGCGATAAGCGCAGCCGTGGAAAGGGCGAATGACTTCATCTCGGCGTATTACGATGATCTGTAAGCACGATGTGTAAAGAGCGTGGTAGTGCGCGTAGACCAGACGCGCTGTTGGTGATTGTAGCAAGGAGCGACTGGGATAGTGAGTGCTGAGTAAAGAGTGGATTCTCGTGACGAGAAAAGGAAAACGAGGGGAAAGTCGTTCAAGGGAGCGTCAGGGCCGCGTTTTAGAGACAGCGTGGTGAAGAGCATTTGGGGTGCTGCCCTGCACGCAGATTTAAGGAGTCGTCTAGTGCACAAATGCTCCCTGCCGCTCGCCATTGGTCGGCCGACCTTAAACTACAAACGGCGCTTGTCGATCCCCGAGAATAGCGACTCTCCTGAGCGCTTTGTGCATTCAATGGTTTGCTGGCTGAGGATCGGTTCATTGAATATTGCACTCGCCTCACTCGCTGTCCGTTGCCGTCGTTTGGTCTCGAGCAGGCCGCAAACGACTCCCCCAGCCGCTTGTGCGACCTCGCGCTATCGTGTCTCACCTGCATACCGCGGGTGGCTTTGCGCCAGGCCGGGAGCCAAGGAGATTGTGAAACACCAGGCACGCTGCACTGCGACCCTTGAAGCGACCGTCTGCTCTCTGCGCCACTCGCGCTGCCATGCGATATGCCGCTGCGATAGCGATACGATGTGGAGCACGAATCCTAAACGCTTAATGGATCCGCATCGTCATGGCCCACCACTGCCGGCCTGAGCACCACTCTATACGAGCCGAATTGCCGTGCTGCGTCCTGAGGGAAAAGGCCGTTTGACCGTGCCAAAAAGAGTCCTTCACCCGTCTGTGCTTCCTCTCACACAGTTGTACCCCGCCGAGCCACCTCGTCCAGAGACCTCCTCTCGGCGTCATTACGCTCTCCGTGGTTTCCATCCATCGTATCCGGGATTTCTCTGCCATCGACCGCCGGCACGAAGAACTTGCCCCATGCAAATGCAGGACCGTCCATGGCAAACTTGCCCTGCATGCGCCAGCGGCCCATGTACACGTTGAGTGCGACGAGGACTTTGGCGAGACACGTCCAGTCGAAACCAAAGTACAGCCCTGCTCTTCCATCGGAAACGACATACTTGTGCCAGATGCCCCAGAGAACGATGTATTCGGCCTGATCTCCTATGTCGCCATCGTCGACCGTCATCCGATGCCATTGCAACAGAGCTCGCATGACCTCATTGCACGACTCCATGACCTGGCGTGGCGAGCGCGAGTGGATCACAGCCAGCGTTTCGTATCGACAGCCAGTCTGCAGGAGCTGTATACAGAGGAGCGCCTTCTCCATGCGACTCATCGAGCCAGAGCTCGCAATGAAGCCTGCATTGCTCAGCCACTCTTTGATCGCACGCAGCTCGTGAAGCTTCATGTAATGCAGATAAGGCAAAACGAAGCGAGCATCCTCGATCCCTTGCATCGTCATCTCGGTGATCATGAAGCCATTGCAGCTACCTCTGCGCTCTTTGTACGGGTTGCGCAGAACAGGATCCATGTTGGCCTCCTCTTCTTGTACGCGCAGCTTGACCTCGTCTCTCGGTTGCGGGAACTTGAGGGGATGCGTTGTAGGTAGGCGTAGGCTCTCCGAGCATTGCGACGGCGCTCCGTGGATGATGAGACGCGGTAGTTGTCTCAGCGCCTCGAATGCGTTGGCGCGTCCTGCTCTCTGGACTGCAACTGGCGGGTGTATATCTCCAACTGGTAGGCCACCGGACATGAGGTATGTATCTTCGTAGTGGTCGCCTTCAACAACAGACCGACGCCGCACGTCAAGAGCGTCTTCGAACGCCTGCTTCTCTTCCTCCGCATCCCCACGAACATACGCTTCAACCTTTCCATTATCCGTCGACGTATTCCTTCTCCCTCCATTCTGCGGGCCCGATATCCTCCGCAGCTTCACCCCGGTATCGCCGCCTCCCTTCGGCCCTCTTAGCCTCTCTTCAAGTTTCACCACATTCTTATACGACCGCCAAGCATGTCTCTTCGCATCTTTGACCAGCGCCTCGATCTCATCTCCAATTTCGCAGTACAAATTCGCATCGAGCTTCTCGAGGTCGCGGTGCGCACTCTTCAGTTCGCGCTTGATCTCCGTGACGCGGGTGACGTTCGATCGCTCGTGTTCGGTAAGGCCTTGGAGCCATTGGATGTAGCTGCTGACACCGCGTACGTAGTCTTTGATATCGTCTAGTCTGTCTGGGATTGTGTCGACAGAGGGGTGGGGTGCGTGACGGCTTTTCGGCGCCGTTGTGCGTTCCTTCGATTGCGGTTGCTCTGTAGTGGGTCCGGGGGTTGTTCCTGCATTTGCATCCGCATCAGTACCTGCATCTGCGATTATCGACCGGCGCGGACTGAACGGGTTGTAGAATCGGCCCATTGCACTTTCGAGTGGCTATGCATGTCGTGGCATGATTGTGTTGTAGACCCTAGGTGGCTGCTGCCAAAACGCTCTTCGCTTCGTGTACCCTTAAAGATCCACCTTGCGTCAGTTTTATGGAAGGACATCTGGTAGGCTCCACATACTTGTTCCAATACTGACAAAGCTGCGCAGCCAGCGTAGAAGAATGAACATCGGATGCTGACGCAGTGCACTGAGTGCTTTAGCTGGGATTAGAACTAAGACTCAAGATACCAAGCTGAACATCTACTTCCTCCCAACAACATCCCCCAGCTCAGTCCATGGCCTAACAACCGGCTTCACCTCCCCCCTCACGCGCGTCCTCTGCTCCATCGCATACGCCAATCCAACAATCTTCGCATCACCCCACTTCTCCCCCAAGAAACTGAATCCAAACGGAATACCCGGCGCCGACCCCACCAACCCATCAGGATCAACCAAAACCGGCTGCTCATCCCCCATAGCCCCCATCGGTATACTCACAACCGGCGCCCCAGCAACAGCAGCAAAGTACCAAGAAAACTTCGACGGCAGAACAACAGCATCAAGACCGTGCCGTTTAATCGTTCCAAGCAAGCCTCCCTCGACGTCATAGTACAGACCTTTTTGATACGCCTGCCAGAATTCTGGGGTGGTGTTATCCCAGTTCTCCAGCGCGAAATCCCAGACGCCTGTTGATTTGGCTGGGTAGCTTTCTAGTGGGCTTTGGCGTGTCCAGGCTCGGAGTTCGAGGAGGGTGGAGATGTTGTGCGGGTTGTGGGTGAGCTGTTTGAGGTAGGATTCGATGTTCACGACGAAATCGGCGGACATGATTTGTAGGGCTAGGAGGGTGTCGTTTAGAAAGTCTTGGGCAGCTGGGAAGTCGGTGTCGATGACTGATGCGCCTGCTGAGCGTAAGATGTCTAGGGTGTTGTTGAATGCTGCGATCATGGAGTCTGTTGTGTTGTCGGACATGAGGCTGATGACGTTGCGAGGGACGCCTAGACGTGCACCTTTAAGTGCGGTGAGTTTGCAGGCGCCGACGAAGTCTTTGTCGACGTTGTCTGGTATAGTAGAGGTGTAGTTGTCGTATACGTCGGTGCCTACGATGCTCTGGAGAACGTACGCGGAGTCTTTGACGGTTTTGGTTATGGGGCCGATGGTGTCCATGCGTTCGCTAATTGGTATCACGAGGTGCCGAGATGTAAATCCAACGGCTATCTTGAGTCAGAAGGTAACTCGTTCTTAGGTTCAGTTTCGTATACTTGGCTTCATTCCTACCACATTGTTGACACTGGCGGGGTCAATGATTGACCCGTAGGTCTCGCCGCCCAAGGTGACAGTAGCTAAACCAAGCCTTCTATGGTCAGTCAGTATCTTTCAATCAAAGAGTGTACTCACGAAGCTGCAACCGCACTTCCGCTAGAACTACCGGAGGGATCTTGATGAGGATAGAACGCTCCGTATGTCTGTCCGCCATACGCTGACCAGCCGTTACTCGAGTCCCATGGTATCCGGAAGCTGCCCCACTCGCTAGGATTTGTCTTTCCCAGGATAATGGCACCTGCCTCTCTGAGCTTCTTCGCGATAGTCGAATCAGATGGAGCCTTAGCTCCGACGAGCGCGTAGGAACCAGCGGTGTTGTTCATCTTGTCTTTCGTGGCGATCTGATATCAGTGTTAACATTTGGAACTGCAGATCCATGTGGCTTCAGTTGAAATAAATTACTCACCGTATCTTTGATGAGTATAGGGACGCCATGCATCGGTCTGAAAGTCAGCGGATATCGTGAGTATCTTTAACCTCGTACTCACCCTCGCACCGTGCCCTTCGAGCGCTCCTCGTCAAGTGCAGTCGCTATATCCAGCGCATCAGGATTGGTCTCGATGACTGGGCGCAATACATCGTTCACTTCGTTGATACGAGCGATGTAAGTCTATTGGGCAGCGTCAACCAACGAATTCGGAGATGGTGTTCAATGCCAGCAACTTGCCTTGACAAGATCCACACTGGTAAACTGATTGCGCTGCAGCCCTTTTGTCACCGTCTCGATATCGGCTTCGTACAAGCTCGGAAACTCACCTCTTCCGGCACTTTGACTGAGGTACCAGCCCGAGCCCGCGCCGCCGATGACCAAGGCGCCTAGGAGAATTCCAGACACCATCTTTTTAGAACACCAACGCCAGCGTACTTTATCTTCGCTCAAGCTGTCTGTTGATATACGGTGATATGCCGCATGTGTAGGGACGAAATGATTGAATGACCATTCAAGCGGATGCGGTAGCCACGACTTGGTTGATGTGTCTCCGGCAGGAATGGGACGGAGTGTATCGGTGGCAGGCTTCATAGTAGCGATCGTGACAACACTTCTCTGCAGGTTACATACCGCCACGTCTGACAAACCTGTGCTTGGTTGTCCTAGAACTTGGTGCTCAGCTGCGATAGGAGCGGGTGGCTAGCGCGGAGTTCGGCCCCGCACCTGCACGATGATGATGGTGGCAGCAAACAAATACATCGCACCTTCCTTTCTACAACCACAGTCAATACTCTCCGTCGTCGACGCATCGCTTTGAGTTGCTGTGGAGCGCGTCTGCACGTCTCGTACTGGCACGGCCGGCATGGCTGGTACCCATCACTTGTTATTTACACTGAGTTATTGCGCTATTTCCCTACGACGAACATTTCAACCGAACCTGAATAACAATGCAGACAGATCTCGTCTCCGGTCTGACCCACATCCCTAGTTCTCTTTGCCTTCGCCTTCGACCTCCTTGTCCATATCCTCGTCTTCATCCTCTTCCCTTCCACTGTACACCAACTGCCAGCCTTCGACTTCCTCCCGGCTCGGCCAATATCTTAGATCTTCCCAATTCCATATAAGCGACAAGAATCTGGACAGGTCTATCGGATACCCAAGCAGTTCCAGAGCAGCGCGTTCTATCGAACCCGCTATACGCTGCCACGCTAGTCCATGTCCCTTGAATTGACTGACGTTCGCCTCGTATGAGTGTAAAACCTCTTCGCAACGGCAGGCATAGTGATGCAGATATGCGTGCACAAGCTCGTGTAGGATAGTGCCTAGGCGGTCCATAGCTAACTCGTTCAGCCTACCATAGCCTTTTACTGGGATGCAATTGAAGGCACACATGCAGATCCGAGGATTGTCAGTGGACCAGTACTCTCCATATTCCTGTGGTGAGTCCCTCCAATCCATCCATGTGAACCTTACGTTCATTTCCTCGTCTGCCGACCTCGTCCGAAAGAAGATCACCGAGAAGGTTCTGATCAGGCCCCTCATCTCAGCCTCGGAGACCTTACTGCCATCCGCCTGCCCTAGTCTTTCTAACAAGGAGTCCGTTGACATGTCTTTACACAATGTCTCCCAAACATCTAGTGCTGCCTTTTGTCTACTTCTCAATCCGTGCTTGCCCAATTCCATGCTACGCTGGATCTCATCAGCCAGTCGAAGAGCATGGTGGCCTTCCCTGCGCAAGGGCGCTCGCTTCCGATATCCCGGTTCACCAGGAGTTCCTTCGGCGGCAATAGTTCCCCCGCAGAAGTTCGTACATGGCTGCTGCTGCTTCTTTTGGCTTGCTAAACGCTGTGACTTCCGCCTTTGCTCGAACTCAACAACCATTTTGACAAACTCCTCGGGGGTTTCTGGCCGAGGTCTTCGGTTCAGTGGAGTGGTAGAGGGCATGTTGGCACTGATATGTGTAGAAAACACGTCGGTATCTTGTGTTCGTATGGTGAAGACCAGACGGTATGTTGCTTCCTGACTCTTTCATAATCTTTTCGATAGACTTGCATGGCTGATATATAGTGCTCACGACAGAAGTCTCACACTGGGTAAGACGCTTTGAGATGTTCCTCACAGCCTCTGATCTTAGCCCGAGACATCATCCGCACGCTTCCCATTCTCGTAACTGTTCGAGAAGGAAACATGCTGGTGTTCATCCGCATTGGGACGATGCGACTTGCGGAAGAAGCTTCTTGTTACTATGAAGCTCCAACGATTTCCGGTACGCATATTTAAAAGGCTCTTCATGATCGTGAGTTAGTTTGGAGTTATATTGTGCAGTGTTTTCGAGGACATATGAGTCAGAGGTGTACATTTCAAGACACATTTGGTAACCCTTCTACCCAGTAACAACATCTCTAATAAGACCCACAGCAGCTCTGACCAATGCTGTCGCATGCTATGCGCGATCACCACACCAGTTCCCACCCTTCAACTTCATCCTCCGTAGGCCAGACCAGCATATCGTCCCAGTTGTTGACAACAGCCTCAAAGCGACACAAATCAAGCGGAAGATCAAGTGTATCGTTGGCGAATCGTTCCACAGACCTTGCTATCCTCTGCCAAACTCTTCCATGTCCACCCAACTGCACAAGGTCCTCCCGATAAGATAAACAACACGGACATGCGTAGTAGCCGACGTAGGCATGCACAAGCTCATGAAGCAATGTACTCAGACGAGACATGGCCCGGCCACTCAATTGACGAAAGTTCTGAAACGGTCTGACTTCCAATGCGGATAGTCTCACTACCGCATATGGTTGATCTGGACCTGCGCAAGTGCAGTCACCCATGCTAGCCGGATCAGATGGCCGGTCTGACCAGGCAAACCGCACTTCCATTCTATCCCATGGCGTGGTTTGGAAGAAGATTGCTGTCAAGAGGATGAGTAGCCTTTCCATTTCCCATCCTTCTACGCTATGGGCGTCTAGGTTACCGAGTCGCTGCAGCACTGCACGTTCAGAACGGTCTTCGATCATGTCGTTGAAAGCGTCGATGGCTTTGAGCTGGGCATCTGTGAGATGCTCGCGGCTGGCTTTTGACCCATGCATCACCAGATCGCTGAGTTCAGAAGCATGATGACGCCAGAAGAGCAATGGCGTCCGCTCGTCTACTCGGTTGCCGAGCTTGTTGTGGACGGATGTGATTTTGATGACCGTGTTGCAGCAGTTCTTGCATGTTCTGGGAACCGTTTCATCTTGTGAGAGCTTGACGGGATTGCCTTTGTGGTACTCCTTGGTCATGTAAAGAAACTCGTCTGGCGTTCTGGGAGGCTCGCGCCGATTTGATAGCCGAGTACTTTTGTAAGGACGAGAACGCGACGTCAGCTTCTCAGTTCTTATGGGTGGCATTGTTTGGCCTTTATTAATGGATAGAGAGAGTATATTCATGCATATCCTCCGAGACAATACACGGTACTTATCGATGTAGATAATCATTAGATGTCTCGATGTGAGCGAGACATGGAAGACCAATAAACCCGCACAGATACCAACGACCAGAGACATGCGAAGAAAGCTACATGACATTGGGGCTTTTGCCTATACAACAATCAACGTTTGATTTACTAACTACAACACATCAAGAGGTTCAATCTCCCTGATACCCTAAGTTACCATCCGTTCCAAATTCCACTCTTTGACTTCCTGCTGAGTTGGCCAATATATCGGTACACCCCAATTAGCTTGTATGGAGGTGAATCTTCCCAGAACCAGTGGTAGGTGAATGAAGCGAGGAGCATTGTGTTCCACCGAGCTCGCAATCCGCTGCCACGCTAGTCCGTGTCCCCTGAGTGATTCAACATCTTTCACAAACGATGGGCACCTACAAGCGTAGATACCCAGATATGCGTGTACCAGCTCGTGAAGAAGGGTGCTTAGGCGTGACATGGGTCGGGCAGATAGGTTTCCGTGGGGCGAAGCATCCATGTAGTTGAAAGTCGACATTTCAATTTTGGGGTGCACATCGCATGTGTAACGGCCAAAATAATCGTCGTTGCAGCTTTTCCATTCGAATTCAAGCTCCATCTGATAGTCGCGGAAGAAGATGGCTGACAAGAGCTTCATCAGATACTTCATCTGGTCCTTGGAGACGCTACTTGCATCATACCACCCTAGTCGTCGCAGTAGAGAGCCCGTTGCTTTGTCCTCTAGCAGTTCTTTGAAGGATGCGATCGCATCTAGCTGCTCGTCATTGGCAAACTCAGGTCCCTCTGACATGATGGCTTTAACTTCGTCGGAAAGTCGGATAGCATGATGGCTGGTCCTTCGCAGCGAGTCGCGCTTACGTGTTTGGTTTCCCAGCTTGTTTGTGTACTTTACAGCGCGGATGGCTTTTTCACAGGGATTGCGGCATTTCACATTGTTTATCCAGGTCCCGAGCCGCTGGTGACGGGTTTTGTTGTGACGATCGATGATCATGTCGATGTATTCCTGTGGCGTCTTCGGACAATCAACGTCAAGAGAAGTCATAGACAGGTTGTATGCATCGCGAGGCTGTCTACACATGATGAATTGGTTGTATGTGTTTTCCAGAGACTGGCTGAGCGGGTTGTTATCGGTTAAGCTACTTGCTTGCGATGACATCGCGTGGTCGCTATATACGTACTGGGCCGTAAAGTCTCACAACATTTGAGACGCCCCAAAGCTCGGCCACAGCACGTCGCACCAGATCGAGACATTGGATTTCTACAGTGACGTGAATCAGTCGTAAACACATTATTCGAAACCCTGAGAGCTTTCCTTCCGCGAGTTTTACAGCTGGAAAGGTCTGGAGCCGGGTACCACAGAAGTCGTGAACAATAAGCCATAATCACAAAGAAATAGCCAAACAAGTCTTGAGATATGAAGTACGATCTATCTGCGCCCTTTTCGGCCTCTACCCACTACCGCACACTCTACTATGGCTTCAAACGGACACAGCACCGCCCATCCACCCATAGCACCTCTAACAGGACCGAAAGCAGTCTTCTACGACCGCCTTCTAACCCGAACCTTCGTCAAAGATTGCCTCTGCGAGGAATGCGCAAGAGACCATTACCTAAACTACCCCTACTCCTGCTGCTTAGGCCATTTCCCAAACGAAATCCCCATCGTACCCGGCAAGCGACCCACTACCGTCGTCCACTCCCGATTAAGACATTACGAAGCCCTCCAACTAGTCCGTAGCTCCATCCAGTACTTCAGCAGACCACCAATCGAGATGGACATCGAGCAACTTGAAGCCATAACGGAGATACAAAGACTGCTTTACCATGGAGGTCTGATCGCGACGCTTGGGTCGTATGATATGCGTTCCGCCCTGTCCGTTGTCGAGATGAGAACACTGATTACGCTTTTGTTAGCTGTGTTCTTCTTCGGCGCAGCAATCCCGTTTGAATTCGCTTGGCACAGCAATCACCTAGAGACATATGACTGGATTGGCGTTACTGTGACGGAAAATCGTAACGGCCAGGATGTCGAATGTATTTCCATTCATCCTGCCAAAGTCATACCGAGCGTCGGAGATTCCCCCAACTACGGCAGAGCTCTAGCGGTGCAGCGGCTTTCTACGTTGATGCATGAGCTTATTCATGCTGTGATTAAGACGCTGTGTTGTAGGGAATGCCGCGCTGCAGATGACAACCTGGCGCACCATGGAAGGACGTGGCAGAGGTTGGCTTTGGGTGTTGAGACGGAGTTTGCGAAGTTCTTCGGGTTGAGCCTCGATTTGGGGAGGATGGACGGGGTTTTGAACGACATGGTGAGCCCAGGGGCTGAGTTCCGCTATCCCAGTAGACATGATCTGGAGATCTATGGGTTTGTGGAGCCTCGGTAACGTGATGCAAACATGCTCTAGGACTCAATGAACGCTGCGACCTGAACGTAGAAGGATATCATTACAAAAGCCATACCAGCCGTCTAAAACTCCGTTTCGTAAATGCTGCGCCAACCCAATGCAAGACTATCTATCCATTCACATCTCTATCAACAACACACCTTCTCTCCACCACCACTTCCGCCCATCCCCCAAACCTCCAAATCATGCACGCTCGGCAACCCACCACCCTCACACTCACTCAACGCACTCTGCCACCTCCCCAAATCCACATTCCCACCCACCACAACCCCCGCAACCTGTTCCACCTTCCTCGCCAAAACCTGCCACGCCCTCCCATGCCCCCTCTCGCCTATACAAGCCGCCCACATGGGACAACTCCGACACGTATACGCCTTCAGAAACGCATGAATCATTTCATGCAGGAGCGTCCCTAGCCTAGACTTCATCCGCGCTTGCTGCGTCTGCGTCGGTGTATCCAACGGCCTATATCCACGATACAGCATAGGGTGAAGGAGAACCTGCGTGCCTACAACAGGGTTGTAGAAACTTTTTCCGAAACAATCGCGCTGGCGCGAGTCGAGGTAGCTGAATCCGGCGCTTAGTAGCTCGTTGTGCGTGGGCACGTTTCCGGCGAAGAATACGCGGTTTAAGTGTGCGAAGAGCGTTGTTACTTGGCGGGCGGAGAGCGTGGAGCGTAGGTCGGAAGATGTGAGATGTGGGTACCAATATGAGAGTAGACTGCGCAGGTGGAGGACCGAGGGCGTGGGGCGCGCGGATGGGTGCAGGTATGTTGCGTCGAGCCAGGATATATGGTGCCGGACTAAAGACATGGATTCGTAGGTTCCGTGGAAGCGGAGGGTTAATGAAGGCGCTGGACTGGTGGGTTTGGGCACCTTTTCGGAGGAGAAGGAGGGGGTTTTGCGGTGGTGGTTCTTCGAGGTGTGTTTGTTGCGACGGTCGCGGAGGGCGCCGTGGGAGGCCAAGGTGGAGATTTTGTAGAGTTTCGGGGCGCATTCGTCGCAGGTGCAGGGGAGGTCTGCTTCTTGGACGTGGGCTTGGAGTTCGGTGAGGGATTTGGGCGGCGTGGTTGATATGGGAGCGTAGTCATCGGTATGGGATATCGTTGGGTTGCGGCCTAAGATGCGGTCTTCGATGAAGGACAGTTTTGGGTCCAGAGCAAAGAGCGGTTCGAGGAATGGAAGCAGATTGTGCCATCTTGATGCGCCGTGGCACGTTTTCCCTTCTTCTAGCTGGTCGCCGAGACGTCGGGCGTCGTTCTGTTTCCTCTGATGTTCTTCTCCATCGCCAAGAATGAACTTCGCGATGCGCCGGATGGGATGGAGTCGTCTTCTCTTCTTTTCCGACTTCTTCGTCTTCTTTGCAAGATTGCTTGCATCGTGCGTTTCCAGAACTGGCGGATTCCCCATGGGGTAGACGTAATATTAATGAGCTAATGTACAGGGCTATAAATTCGACATGATTGAAGGAAAAGAAAAGAGTAACCCAAATCCGAGATTCGGCCCATGGGAAAGACGTGACAGCCGTTTTGGGGACATGGTGCCCTAACCGAACAGTGAGGCGGTAAGGGTAGTAAGATTGAAGGATTCGGATGCACAGCAGGGGTGCTATCTGTCGCGATTGCGAGGCATGCTGCGCACAGACGGTTAGGGTCGTCTGAGGATCGGGACGAGGGTTCGTTGTGGCAGGTGATGCCGATACGATGCCAGGCAGGTTTGGGGACTCGAGATCCAAGACATGACGGACACTTGTTCTGCGAGTACAGGTGTGTCGAGGCTATGTTTGGGGCTGCGGATGAAAGCCAGTACGCGCGTTTCGTGCGTGAGAACGGGCATCTCGGTAATCCTGCCCTGGGTTGTGACGGAAGTTGCACAAAGACAACGGTCCGATGTTGGAACGGGGGGTGTGGCTCATTTCTCACACGCCACGTGGCGCACAGTGGAGTGTGCATTTTTAACCGGGGGGAGACTCCAGTGTGTAAATCGTGTCTTAGGCGGATAGTGTGCGAGACTTCCATCACCTACCAACGTACACACAAAGTCCCTCGCGAAAAGACTTCGAGTTCGAGCGCGAAGTTCACCAGACCTCCACCACCTCCCCTCCGCCTCCCCTCCACCTCCCCCACCCACCCAGGTGTGGCAGCACTGTGGCTGTTCATTTCTCGCACGCCACGTGGCGCAGTGTGGAGTGTGCATGCATGACAGACCGTTGTGTTATCAGGGTCTTTTCTAGGTTCCGCTTCCGCTTATCCGACCCCTGTTCTGTGAAACGTTGCGCACGTACACCCGGTCGTGCGTCAACTCTTTCTTCGAGTCAGCCGAATGACGCTTCTTCAAGGTTATATCCGGTTTCTTCTGCGCCGTCTCGTGGTGTCAGAGTCTCTTTTATTGTTGTTGCTGTCGTCAGGCGGCTGCGTTCTCAAATTGTGGCACCGATCGTTGTTGCGCGGGCGGGGCTGGCGATGACGCATGCTGTGTTCTGCAGTGGCCTTAGGATCGAGGTGTAGTTCCGCGCCGGTAGGCCGATCATTCTGGCTCCGAACGAGATCTAATCACCCGACACATCTTGACCGTCTTAGGGTGAAGTAGGTAAGGCTTCTTGAATGCTATGCGTCCAAGAACAGTATCAGCGAGGTTGAACTCGTCCCAATCCAAACGCCCTCTTGACTTTATGCCAAGTTTCTCTTCATCGTAAATGAGGCTGATGCATCGATCCAATTCCATGCGTATCCCCAACAAATTGGAGCTGACATGCTCTAACTCTAGGGCTAATTGCTGCCAGGCCGCGCCATGACTGACCCTGCTGTGGCAGTTTTCACAGATATGTCTGCAGAAGAAAGCGTGGCAGAGCTCGTGCAGGAGCGTACCAAGGCGACCTTGCCTTCGTTTGTCGAAGACTTTTGGAAGAACCCAGTGGTTCAGTGGTTCGGTGACGTTAGGATCTAGTTTGATCAGGCAGCCGTAGCTTTTTTGTATTGTCACCCCAAGAATATTCCATTTGTTTTTGTCGTGATCGTCTACCCAGTCAAACTGAACTTGGAATGAGGGTTGAGGAGGAACAAGTTCCGCGTCGAAGAACGTCTCCGATAGATCGTTCAAGAGGCCTGTCATCTCCTCTTCAGATAGAGTCTTTCGCAAGTCTTTCGCGTTGAGACGCTCCTTCCAGTTGCTGATCAAGTCATTGAGACGGCGTACCCTGGCTTCCATCTCTTCATTCGGTTTTCCAAAGTGTGTGTTGTGAAGCCAACGGATGTGCTGTTCTACTAGTAGGGTTGGTTCCGTGCAACCAGACGTGCAAGGAGGCTCGGGAGTAATCGGTTCTTCTTCAGGCGCAGGGGGTTTGCCAGATCGTGTCTTGAACCACATCTTGCTGAATTTGGAGA